ATTCCTGCTCATCCTCCGCCAAAAAGTGGTACGTGCGATTATCTGAGACACACAAAACCATTTATGTTTAGTACTGAAAGTACCCAGCTGAGAAAGGGCTTGGTTTTTATAAAGAGCACTAAAGTACTGCCGAAAACTGGCCCCCTGTGTTTCCAAGACAGTCGTGTGCAGGATGCAGACAGTGGACATTGCTAAATTAATCCATTGCTAAATTAACCCATGCAAGCAAACCACATCTGCTAATACACTGTCTGCAACCTCTTGCCCCCTTCCCAGGACTGTCTCACTCTGTTTCTGCCCAGGGTATGGTGGTGTGACCTTGGAGTAGCCAGCTGCAAGAGAGCATAAAGACTGCAGGTTTGTTCTGGCCTGTATGCCCCATGGTCTCAGTAGCCTGAGGCTGTGGCAGTGCCACCTAGTTGAGATACCCTCAGCTGCTCTGTTAATTGTTCCTCAGACCACAGTCCATTTCAAGAACTATCCCTGGCATTGTTCCTTCCTAGGAGTGTGTAAGAGACGGGAAGTTTTGCAATGATTCTGAGTACTGGCATGATACCAGTAAATATTGTCTGCTCCTGGCTAAACTCCTGCTCTTATAATGGCAGTTGTACTGCACCTCCCTTTACATCTTTCCCACGTTAAGGCAGTGCTACATATTCCTTACAGACACTCAGTGTGTGTATCTTTCTTGCTAATTCCAGTGTTTAGTTCTTCTTTTGTCACACTGCCTCAGCTCTGCATTTGTCAGGTAGTTTGGGATAATACTTCAAAATAGTAACTAACAACCCTACCCCATATCCTGGGTCAGGCCTAGAAGTGTCAAACAATATGTCACCACCACCACTTAAGCAGGCCCTCTGCCCTGAAGCTTGCTGCTTATTCATGTTGTTCCTCTGAGCATGCAGTTGTCTCTGGGATGCAGGATCACTTTGACTTGAGAAGCTGCCTGCTTCTCTACACTTTTCCCTGAGGAAGCGCAAATTAAATGACAGGACTTACGTGAAATGAAATCAAAGCACTTCCTGTCATCCAAATTTGGCTTCACTTGGCAAGTGAGCAAATTTAGTTTGGCTGGTGAACGGTGCAGCTAATGGATGAAAGAAAGAAGCCTCAGTACTTGCAGCATTACTCAGAAAGTACTCTTTATGGCAGGTCCTTTTCATGCAGGTGAGATCATGGTGTTAGTCCCCAGGGTCTCAAGTCACTAACTTCCCCAGGAACCCAATTACTCTACCCTTGCTGCTGCCTACATTAATAATAATGGATGGAATGGCAGCAATAACCTTTCAAGTCTAGATGCGCCTCCGCTTCATGCAAGCACTCAAGTCAGGCAAGGACCTTGTGTGCTTGCCTTCAACTTGCCTTTCAACAGAAAGACTGCAGCAGGGTCAAATGAAGCCACTGGACTCTGTGGATAACTAAGTATTGACCATCTGCTCTGACCCTGCACAAACCCATGGCCAGAATCTAGCAGCTCCTCAGGTTCTCTATGCACTATTGGAAGGCAGGGCACGGTGTGGCGCCTTATAGAATAACACATCTAACTACCTCTCTCCTTGCCAGTGATTCTCAACTGGGGTGATGCAGTACCCTGGGGTACCACAAGATCCTTTTAAGGGTGCCATACTGCCCACCTCCTGAGGAAGTAATTGTTCTCATCCCCTCATCTGGCATCTTGCATCTGCCCCAGCAATCCCAGCAGTGCTTGCAGATGATCCTTTGAGGATTACTGCCATTGCTGTCCTCCCCTCCACTTCTCTGCCTTCCAAGAGCTTCTGTGCCATCTGCCACCATGCTCCCAGCTGTGGGTCAGCAAGCAGATGGGTGGGTGAATGTGGGGACAGAGCTACACTTTGCAGCTTGGCTTGTCTGCCTTCCTCTTCCCATACTCCCAGGGCCAACCAGAGGGGCTATGGAGCAGTTGCTGGCATGTAAGACCCTGCAGGAGCAGCCTCATGGCAGGGACTGCCTTGGCCTTCTCAGGTACAGACTGGGGGTTGGGAAGGGAGCAGACAGTGAAAAGAGCATAACATAACAGGGTCAGATTCTGTTCCACTACCCTAGTCTGGCACCAGCTAAAGTACTGCTTCTCAACCTCCACATCCTTTCTGAATTTAGATTCTAGCTCGGTTATTCCCAATTGGGGTGCTAGGGAATTCAGAAAAGTTATGGAAGGGTACCTTGAGGCTAAAAAGGTTGAGAACCACTGCTCCATGCACTATGTGGTGAAAGTGACAAAGGCACCAATCCCTACCGTGCTGTGAGAGATGGTCAGATAGCCATTCCTGACAGTGCACTTCCTCTTCTGCCAGACCTTTCTCAGCCTGAAAATTAACATACAATTTTGTATTTAAAAAGAAACCTGAACTCAACCAGGCAGACCAGCTTACCAAAATAATTAAAGCACTGACTGACACCATTAAGGGCAGCAGGAGTTGAGATGAGGGAGGTAGCAGGTCTAAGGCCACTGTTAATGCTTCTGGCGCAATGGTATGACTAAATCTGGTGAGGTTTGCAAAAGGAGTTCTTGGCTTATGCTGAGCTGAATGTGATCAGTTGCTATTGATAATAAACAATTTGTGGGGAGAACCAACATAACCCCTTATTGGGTGCAATGTATAAAACATCTTCCTAAGGGATGTCTATGCCAGACCTGCACAGCTGACTGCTAACTCCAGGCCACTCAGCTCCCATTCAGTTCTAGCTATAAGAGTTTCACAGCAAACATCCAGGGCTATTCATTGTACTCTGCCACTTCCACCCCTGGGGTGGGCTTCTCAGACCAGCTTTCCCCAGACTATATCACACTGCAGAAGTGAGGTAAACCTGCTTGCAGATGTTACATCATCTGGAAGACAGACTAATCATTATCAGAGTCCCCATGTTGAGGGTGATTAGTAGACTGCTGGTACAACAGACATGTGTCAGTCTGTTGTTTCAAAATAAAGCCTTTTCTTTTGTGTAATGATTTGTTCTTGCTAGTAAGATTAAACGTTACTTTGTTTCAGGGCTTTTTAGTATCATATGATCACAGTTCATGAAAGGAAAAACTGCAGGTACTGATTAAACCCAGACCAGCTTGGCAATCACATTTGGTTTACAGGGTACAGCAGGCTGAGGACCATGTCTGAGAGTGGTGAAGTTACCAGATTATACACCTGAGAGGTGAAAGATTAAGGCAGGACTACTGGAGGAAATATTCTCTAAAGAAACCCTGAGAGCACAACTAGCCCTGGCCCATAATGAAAGAGATGATTTATCTGCATTCTCCAATGTCCCATTTTCTCTTTCCTATTGAATCTCTGTCTTTCCAATATTTTCCACAAAGGTATTAGTGCAGGTTTCTGGCTGAATCCCAGGTTATTATTTTCTATTGGGTTTTAAGTTTTCTAGGTCCATATACACCATTTCTCAGCCCTGCTGGAATCTGCAAACCCATCAAGGTGCTTTACAAGAGCTCAGTACAAGAATCTTATCTACAGAGAGCAACTGGAGGCATGTGAAAGTATCACAGCTGGCCAGTGACAGAATGGGAAAAAAAACCTCTCAATTCCCTTCCTTTGGCTTTATCATCTGGACCATGCTGCTGACCCTAAGCCTAATCCCCACAGAGACTGTCTGTAGTCTCTCCTACATGGTATTTTCTATTTGTTTGTTTATGCTCCTCCCAGTATTTCTTAGTGCAAAAAGTGCTGCTTCTTTCTGACAAAACAGATGCATCCTGATGGAGATGTAGTATCAAGGTCAGCTCAGTGGCCTGGGCAGAGGGACAACTTCTGTGCTTTGCAGTGAAGACCAATGGTTCCTACACTTACCCGTCGCTCTTCTTAAAGAGGTTTCCTGATTTCTCAGTACCATATGTCTTGTTCCCTTGTAGTTGATGCATGTTATACCCTAGCTGCTTGCTCACAGAATCCTAACAAACAGAAAGAGATGATCATAAGACTACATCCATCTCTCCAGAAAAAAAATGGCCTGACAGAGAATTCTTCAGACTAGCATTCTGTGAAAGGTTTTGTACAAGCATGAAATATGGCAATGACACAGTCTGTGGTAAACACACACATGACAGACCAGTACAAAAGCCAGCTGTCACAAGTCACACTATGGCAACAGTCAATTCAGCAGCACTGCCACATATCATAGATGGGACATAAGGGTCAGGTAGATCCCCGCTGGTGCCAGACCCCACTAGGGCAGAAGTGTCTGAAAGTCATTCCTTCTAAATAGTTGTCAGTAACCTCTGTGATATGAGGTGGGGGAACACAAACACCATTGGAACGGGCCCCACCTTGAGCAGCTTCATCAGAGAAGTAGGTGGCAAAGAGGGCCTCAGGAGGAGAGAGAACCAGATTCTTAGTGTTATACTTGGGAAAGGAAGCTCAGCTGCCTGGGCACTAGGTCCAGGGAGCCAGCCGAGGGTGAGGGGAGGGAGGGGGAGGCAGGGAGCACATGCAGAAGAGCTCACCCAAGCACCTGCAGTGCTCCACATGGGGCTGAGCCCCACCCAGGGCAGCCTGTGCCACGGTCTTACCCATGCCTGCCTGCCCAACCAGCCTCAACCCCAGCCCTGACCAGTGTGCAGCTTCTGCTAGGGCTGTTCCTGGTGCAGCTGTAGCATGCCAGATGCTCTGCTCCCTTTGTCTCCAGCAGGAGCCACCTGGCTAAAGCTTTTGCCATACCTGCCCACCCAGAGTGGCACAGCAGGGGCAGGAGTGGGAGGATGAGCTGCCACTGAAAGCTTCAGCCAGGCAGCTCCTGCTGGAGGTGAGGGGAGCACAGCAGCACTGGAAACAGCAACCCCTGAGAAGCTGCATGCACTGATCAGGGTCCAGGCCAGTGAAAGCAGGCTGGAACATGGCACAAGCCACCCCGGCAGGAGTGGCTCGGGCTTGGCCCCATGCAGAGCACCATAGGCCAGATCCATGGTGGCAGGCAGGATTCAGCTTGCGGGTCAAATTTTACCTACCTCTGATCTAGAAGCACCAGCCAGTGTGGGGTAGGAGTGGGGCGGTGGGAGGAAAAATTCAGGAACTTTTGCTAACTGAGAGAGGGGCTGACTTAGGCAGTTGGAAGGGGGCATAGTGGAGGCCTCACCATATGAATGTTGAAAGTTTCTTCTCCCCATTCCCAAACTCCCTCTGTGTCCCCTCCCCTTCTTTTCTTCTCACAGCCTCCAACAGCCCATATGACATCATGGTACCATAGGATTCTGCAGCTCTCTCTTGCCTTGTCCCTGGCGCACACTGCAGTCCGGGATCTCCCCTCTATGACACAGCACGGCTCAACCTGGGGATTCTGGAAACTCCAGGCTGCTGCCCACTGGCTCTACACAGTCTCCTTGGAGACTGAGAGGAGGGCACCAGCCAAGCTGTGCAGGAGGCAGCTGCTCAATGTAAGCCAGTGAAGTGGCAAGCCTAAGGCTGGTGACCAGAGCAACACCTCAATCTTAAGCTACTCAAGTGATGCAGAAGAGCCTCATCACAAACTGGGGCCCTTGTGGAATGGGGAAAGCACACAATGGCAAAGCAGAAGATGCAGGGAGGATATGGCCTTCAGTTTCTATTCTCTTTCTGTACTGGGGAAAACAGGCAGTAGCATCTGGAGTTTGGAATCAAGCTTTTTCCATGCACACTAAATCTGACCCACTGCCCCAAATGAGAGCAGGGCTCTCAGTGTGCTCTGCAAGGCTGTGGATAGAACTAGAGCTGAGGCAGGCAAAGTCCAACCTGCAGCAGACTCCATTTCCCAGCAGCCCAGGCTTGCACTGCTGTGGCCAGTTTCCATGGAGACCCCAGCAGCATCCAGTGTGGCTGGGGAAACCCCAGAATGGACCTCCCTCCCTTGCCTTCTTCCCCTCTCATCCTGGGTCAGCATTACAGCTGGAGGGAAATGGGGTGGGGATGCTGCAGAGACACAGCCTCTCTCCCTGGATTGGCTTTTGGGACAAGCAGCTTTCCTTGACTGGATCTAAAGAGGCTGTAAAGCTGCCGTCTCTGCAGCCTCTTCACCCCATTTCCCCCCAGCTCTAATGCTGACCCAGGATGGGAGGGGAAGAAGGCAAGGGAGGGAGGTCCATTCTGGGGTTTCCCCAGCCACACTGGAGTGTGGGGGATGTAGACTGGCGCATCAGAGCAGACAGAAATGAATGAAGGTCGTCCACTTTGGAGTGTCTTCATTTGAACCCTCAGGCAATAAGGGTTAATTTGTCATGCAATCAGAACACACCGCAGCTTTCAAGGGGCTGATTGCACAACAAATGTAATTTCCATCTGTACACTTAGTTATCAAGCCTCAGGAACTCTATCCCACAAGGAGGTGCTGCTAGGCTGTGCCCTAAAACTGTGGGGTTGAGCAAACCATGAGAGACCAACTTGCAGCCTTTTGCATGTGTTTTTCCCTGCACCAGACCAGTAGGTGCTGTTAGGGTGGCCATTCATCCGGTTTTATAGAGGACAGTCTGGTTTTTTGGTCCTCTGTCCTCTACTGGACACCTTTATAGCCTCTATTTTTCAGCACTCAGCACCCCTCACTCCTGCCGCTGACACCGCCACGTCTGCCTGCAGGAGCTCCCCGCTCACCGCCACCATGCCCCCGCCACTGACACCACTACCGGCGCCTGCGGGAGCTTGCCATGCCCCCCCAGCCTTGGGAGGCTAGGGGGCAATGTCCTCTATTCTTGAGGTACCTTGATGGCCACATTAGGTGCTGTGCAACACACAAGGGTCTGGATTGGATACTGGTGTTTCGCAACCCACCCTCAATCATCAGAATAGGACTTCTATGGGCCACAAGAAGGTGACTGTTCGGGTCTCTATGGCAGCTCCTGGAATAAGGAAATGTCTTTCATGGTTCTTACCTCTTTCTGTTCCAGCTGCAATGCTGTTTTCAGCTGATCCCGAAGGGAGCACAGCTGCTTCTTCTCCTTGTCCTGCCTGACCTTCATCTGAAAAACATCACACCATAGTGCTTCCGTTAAACAGGAGGGGACTACTATTTATATCTGTCTCTGCATCCCACTCATTTGCTTCCAGAGAGGCAGGTATTTCACTCCCACACTAAATCCCACACTTTAGATTTTCACATTCCTAAAGGTCACATCAAACCCCTTAATGAAAAAACATGTCAGTGGGAGGTCTCTCCCATGCAACACCATGGTATGTGGCATGTACTATCATAACAAAGACCATCTTCACCAGAGATGCTCACAAAGAAATAGCTGCAGGAGAGGGGAAAAGTAGCATCACCCCAATGCACAGATTTTTTTTCAAGAGAAGTGGAGGATGCAGAGGGATTTATGGAAGGCATTTAAAATTCAGTGGCATTATATCAATGTTTCATTTGCTAAGGAATATTATCATTACAACATCCTATAGTTTGACACTCATTACAGTCACCTTTTTAGAGGGTTCAATAATTAACAGTTAATGGACCAAAAGCTCAGTTTGTCAGAAAACCACAATTATTTTCAATCTGCCTCTGGAGGCATTCAAGGTAAAGGGCCATGCCTCCTGCTAAAGAAAGACAAAAACTCCCACACTCCATACAAAATTAACCAAGGGATAACATTTCTTCCTGATCCCAAAGGTGGCAATGGGTCTGATCCTGAGCAGAAAGGCAAGACCCTCTAACCAGGAACCTCCAGGTTTTCATCTCAGCAGAAGAACTGGCACACCCCTGTCAAAATCCTAAATCTTGGCTAGAACAAACACCCAATGCCTCTGAGGAAGGCAAAAAAATCCTGACACTTGCATCAACCAAAAATTCCTTCCTGGCCACATGTGGCAACCAGCAGAGCACAGCAACATGGGGAATATTAAACAACTTCCATTCTGTTTCACGACCTGGGGACAGCAAGCATAATTTCACACATTACACCATGTAACTGGACAGCCAGAACTGCCTTTTCTGTATCTCCTCCATGAACTTATCCCAGCTACTTTAAATCTTCCTTCATTACTGAACTAGTTGTGGAGCTCTACTTCATTCTCCTGTTGCTGAGCATGGTCCTCTCCAATATCCAACTGTTCTAGGGTGAAGATCCCTTCTCTTTATCCCCAAGTGATCTGTGAAGGGGATGGGGAGGTAGGGAGAAGAACTCCTGGGCTTCCAACTGTTTCTCTTTACAAGGCACTCCAAGCATAGCTACTCCTGCATTATCCTTGCCCAAATATTACCCAGCCTCTTCTTGAAAACCTCCAAGGATGGAAATCTCACAACATAGTCAGCCTATTCTACTGACTCACTGTTCTGACAGTGAATAATGTTGTCCTGATATCTGATCTAAACTTATTTTTCTGCAACTTCAAGCCATTAAGCTGAGGGCCACATCAGACACTGAGGCTTAGAACAAAATTTAAAATAAATTGGCAGCTTCATATTTCTAAGCAGGGTGCAGAGAAGAGAGATGATGATGAAGAAAAGGACCTGGGGGTTACAGTGAACAATAGGATGGATATAAGTCAGCAGTGTGCCCTTGTTGCCAAGAAGGCTAACAGCATACTGGGCTGCATTAGTAGGAACATTGCCGGCAGATCGAGGGAAGTAATTATTCTACTGTATTCTGCACCACTGAGGCCACATCTGGAGTACTGTGTCCAGTTTTGGGCACCCCTCTATAGAAAATGATGTGGACAAGTTGGAGAGAGTCCAGCAGAGAGGAACAAAAATGGTTCAGGGGCTGGGGCACACGACTTATGAGGAGAGACTGAGGGAATTGGGCTTATTTAGTCTGCAGAAGAGATGACTGAGGGAGGATTTGATAGCAGCCTTCAGCTACCTTCAACAAGGAACAATGGTCTCAAGTTGCAGCAAGGGAGGTTTAGGTTGGATATTAGCAAAAACTCTTTCACTAGGAGGGTGGTGAAACACTGGGACAGGTTACCCAGAGAGGTGGTGGAATCTTCATCCTTGGAGGCTTTTAAGGCCTGGCTTGACAAAGCCCTGGCTGAAATGATCTAGTTGGGGACAGTCATGCTTTGAGCAGGGGGTTGGACTAGATGACTTCCTGAGGTCCCTTCCATCCCTATTTTCAATTATTCTATGACTTTATGAAGCAAACAGAAGGGACACAGTCCAGTACTTTGTACTCCATCAATGTGATGTACAGTGGAGTCAGAAATAGCCTCTAATCATAATGGCTAATCTTGTCTCAGCATTAAAAATCAAGGCTCCATCCAAATAGTAAGTATCACAATTTTCATCAAAAGGAGAAAAAAGATTCTAGTACCATGAAACATATATTAATATTCCTAAATCCTCACATGAGCTGTATTTGCTTATCTAAGCCTGCAAACCTTGAGGACTTTCCACTTAGCTTTTATGCTACCTCTATTTCTTTAGGGGCAACAGAAACCTTAGAAGGTGGACCTTCCTTTTAAGCCCAAGCCTCTATCTTGCCTTGGTTTCTGATGCGATGAAGTTATGGTGCATACTCACACTCTGTAGTTCGGGGGTAAGCTTCTTGATAAACTGCTTAAGTTTCTCTGTTGTTCTTAAACATTCCTGAAAAAAACTGACAGGAAAAGATAGGGAGGGACCAGTTCAAATTAACACTTCTATCACTGATAGGGAGGCATGCAATCTACCCAGACTTTCCTCTACTCAGACACCTCAGCCCACCCTTGTGCACTGGGGTAGTTACGGTCTTTGCTTTGCAGTTGCATTATTAATTCCGTTGTGCCAGCAGTCTTGCTCCCCAAAGTTAATGAGGAAACATTTTGTTCTTATTAACTAGTAAGAATTAAACCTAAGGAGTATGTTTCATCACTTTCCTGGTGAAAGTTGCACCAACTGTTTTGGTACCAAGACACCTTAGGAAGTGTTACAGGTAACCTTTAAAATTCTGTATCTTCCATGCTTTTGGTTGTTTTCCAAGTACTTAGCTGATCTAATAAAAGGTATCACATCTATCCAAAGAACCTTATCTGCCAGGTAATCTTTAAAGCATTTCAAAAGGTGCTAACTCCCCTCTAAGCTTCTTAAAGTTAAACATCTTTAAGTTTAACCTGGAAAAGGGTCATCTTTGAGCTGTTCTATCTTGTTGAGCTAGACTTACTGTTAGTGTGCTCCAAGGATATAAAGCAACCAATTTTCAGTCATCCAAAATCCCCGGATATACTGTTCCCAGCCCCTTTATCCCTGAAAAATCTTTCCAGCCTCCCAAGCTCTACTGCCTAAGGGGTGGTATTGGCCCCAAACCTACACCTACTCCCCACCCCGCTAGTGGGTATGAACCTAGTCCACGAAGCAACATGCTGCTGGTTCCAAGGACCCCAGAAGATCCAATTTAGGTCCCTAGGCCGGGGGCCAGGCACAAACCTCTCCTGTCAAGGGGCTAAGCCTTTGCCCCACAACTGGGCAGCTCTCCCTTAGCCAGAAGAATTTGGGAGAGACGGGGTGGAGCTGTGGCTTCCCTCCCCAGTCTCCCATATTCCAGGGGGGAGGGAGAGGAAAAGGCTACCTAGCGCTGAGCATGGCAAGAGCATAGAACCCAGGGAGGCAAGTTTCCTAGGGATCCATGCTGTCACTGCACTTGACCCCCAGGGCTCCACTTCCAGAAGAGTAGGAGTCTAGGTTCCTGGCCATGTCTGTGCTCACCAGGCTCTCTAGTGGCAAGTCTCAGTGGTGCAGGTCAGAGACAGCATTAAGCCTTAACCTGCAACTGCTCTGAAACAGTTCTAAAACATTAACATTAGAATGGTTTAAAGGTAACCTGTGACAGCACCCTAAGCAAATACAAATCCATGTAATTTGCAGGAAAACACCTCAGAGTCTTTACCATCTTCAAGGGCAGAGGAAGCTGAGTACAGATTTCCCTTGCTTTATGCAGGTTCTGTACACGCGAATTCGCTCTTATGCAATGACCCTTTTTATACCAAAAATTCGTTAGTAAAGTAACAAAGTAAATTCACTTTTATGTGATCGGTGTGGTGGAAGCCCATAGTCAGTTGCTTTGTGCAGTGCATTGTGGGAGTGACACACACCAAAATATAGTCTCCTGTATGTATCTGTGCTCCTTGCTTGTTGTCTGTGACACGTGTTTCTGTAGTTGCCATCCCCATTATGATAGTGCCCTGTGCTTGTGTGTACTGTCTGCTGTTGATAAGTATCAAAATTGTCTTGTAAAAGTGGTAGAAATGGGTCTGGGGGTCAGTACGCTCAAGGTCTTGGAACGTATCCCTATTTGTTACATTGTAAAGTGAGTTCCCTTTATGCGAATTCGAGTTATAAACTGTTTTCCAGGAACACATGTACAGCATAAAGCTAGGGAAACCTATATGTCACCATACTAAAACAGTATGACTAATGACTACAGTAGATGTGTTCACTGCAAACTAAATCAATACCTATGTTCTCCTTAGGAAAACTGGGGAGCTGGCAAGGAGAAGGAGAGGGGCTAAAGATCACTAACTGCTCTTACTTGAACTGTGAATTACAATGTTTGATGTAGTTTTGCAGCAAGTCGACTCCTTTCTTGGTTTTAATCTCATTCACCTTGATTAGATACTGAAGATAAAAAGAGAAGGACTTAATTTGCATTTAGAAGAGTTCCATACTTTTTATACATTGCTTGCTCATCATCCCCCTGTTGACATATGTTCCAATTAATGTGACTGCATCCCCTTCTACTGTGGTCTTGCCTTGACATAAACAGTGGTATGCTTCATGGGAAGCAGACCAAGGGGGCAGATAAAGCTTGCCCAGCACACTGCTCTGTAGCAGAAGTGGAAGCTGCCCTGACCTGCTAAGCTCAGAGCTAATAAGCTAAATACAATTCACTTTACATACCGCAGTGGCACATACATAGCCACGTAACTGTAGCTTGGGGTACTTGCACAGAGTTTAGGATTCTATTTTGCATTGTGGAGAAATGGAATTACCCTGTGTACATACTGGCCAGAAGTAAGTGGGGGAGAAGTAAAATTTGAAAACTTGTCCAGTCTTAAGCATGTAGCTGAGTAATTCTGTTTCCCTGCATAGCTGCCTGGCAAAGCCCAGCCCTGCTGAGCATACTTAGTACCTTAACACAGGCAATGCTGATTTGCAAACTGTGCCTAAGTTTCAAAAACTGTAGCTACACACATACTATTTAGACATGTAAAGTGGAATAGGATTGAGCCCTTTTTTCTGCATCTTTCACCAACTGCTATTAATACTTCTGTGCCCGTCTAAACCCTTGTATTATGAAGTATGATTTCATGTACATTCATCACTTGAACAGATAACATAACAAATCTGGTACAAGGTTACTTGATGCTGAGCCAGGAATAAAACCCAGGTCTCCAATACGGCAAGTCTGAAGACATATGTACTTGGCCATGCAGCTTTTCAGAAAAATCATGTCAAATCAGACCCTTGTACATCTCACACAATCAGTGTTCCTCTTATCCTCTAATAGTTAACTGATGTATAAAGGATTATGACTGTTACTATATGTATGCTAAGAGAGCTGGCTCTTTAGGTCACATGGTAACAGGTCAGCCTCCAGCAGTCACGGATGCAATCCGCAAAAATAATCTCAAGAGCTGTCGTTACACTTGCCCATATCATCTGCAAACTCTACACTATAATCTTATTTTCAGAAGCGCAAACAGAAACGAAGAATCCTGGGGCCATGGTCTACTGCCACTTCACAATTATTTGTGTGACTCGCAAATTTTCTGGTCATTTCAGGAAAAGGAGAACACCGGCTGGTGACAAGATGTCAAGGTAACAGGGATTATGTGGCTTCATTTTATGCACTTGCTACCAAGTGTCATTCATAGAGCTGCATGCAGTGATTTGTGACATACCTCTGCCTGTGGCAATGGGAAGTGACACTTGTCTTTGACACTGAATAGGCAACTTTGGGGTAGGAACAATCAAGGCCTAAGGTGCCTACCATTTAGGTACTGTCATGCCTAACTTTTATGCAACTGGACCTCAGAATGGAATCCTAAATTCAGTTAGGAATGAAGGCTCCCTATGCAGTACACATCTGGTTCACTCTGAGGTGTCTCAGAGTGAGCCAAAAAAACCCACACAACAAATCAGGGAACTTCCTAGTCCTAGCCAATAGGAAACACCAAGGACAGCAGGACACGTCTGAATTTCTGTCCTTTCTGCACCTTAGGCACAGGCATCAGGCTGCAGACAAATGCCCCCATGATCTCAGTGTTCTACGCCCAGGTTCTTTTCCAAAGTGTAGGTGCTTTCATCTAGTTATTCAAATAAGTGACTAGGATTCACTGTTTTCTTTTAAACAGTGCCAGTGGTTGTACTTTTATTGTACTCGCCCAGAAGTAGGAGACTTGGGTTAAATGCCCTCTTCAGTCTAAGGGAGTTCAAACCTAAATCTTACATTACACCTTTTAAAAAGCTAGAGCAGTGCATTAAGGTCATTTGGCTTCCTGCAGTGGCTTCTTTGCAGCCACCTTTTGTACTGTGCAACCTCACAGTAGCTAAGAAGTGTTTTCTGAGAGAGGAGAACAGTTTTCTAGGCTTCTGTGACTATGTTGCTGCTGTCCCCTCCCAGCTCTGTACCTCACACATGTTTAGCTGGAACATCCTGCGCTCCTTCTCCATCTCCTCAGCGATCTCCCCTCCCATCACCTCGTTGCGCACCATCCCATATTGCTTGGCCAGCTCCCGCTTCTCCTTCTCGATCTTAACGCTCAAATAAAGGGAAGAAAGATATCCATATGCCTCCATCCAAATATTCTTTACTAGAATCAGTTCAAAATAAGTGCCCCCAGAAGAGGCTGCAGGGATGAAGGAAAAGGTCAACTTACAGCTTGGTCTCATAGTCTTTCCATGCTTTCTCAAAAGGTTTTCTGAAGTCCTAATAAGAGAAAGACAGATCAGTTAATTGGCAATTGTCCCAAAGCAAGATGTCGCCTATTCCTCACCCCAGTATGCAGGAGCTTCCTGCACAAGCAGCCCAGGCTGCTCTCCTGCCTGAGAGGACATGCACGTGCACTCTTGTCTGTCTGTTATAGTGCTACTACCACCCAGAAGCTGCATCAGCATAATATGCATGTATCACAGATAGTGACAACCTCAGAAGAAGTATTCAATGTTCCAACTCAGAATGCCCAGTCTTTGGATGCTGTGCATAGGACAGGAGAGTACTTTACAGTAACACTATCTCTCCATGCTGCTGGAGTGAAAGCTGCTGCACTCGCCACCTGGGCTTGGAGAATCTACATAACTAAGATGATGGTCCCCTAAATAAAATATTGTTCAAACAACAGTGTAAACAAAAATAAGAATACCCAACCATTACCACCCAGCCTGCTCCCTTCCCCCTTGGTGTCTCCCACTGGCCAGGAGCAGGGGCTGAAAGAAGGAAGCTGCACGTACAGCCACTGTCCCTAGTTGAGGCTGGCTTCCTGGACAGCTGCACCCTGCAGCAAGGGGCAGGAGTGGGCCAAAAGTAGCTCTGGGATTCCCCCTATGCCTGCATCAGCCTGGGACTGATTGCATACCGATTCGCAGCATCGGTATGCAATTTTTGGCTTTCAGTGCCTGCTCCTGGCTGACTGGGGACATCTGCAGAGAGGCAGGAAGGGAGCAGCCACTGAAAGGAGTAACCTGCACATAGCCACTGCTGTCCCCTGCCAAACCCAGCTCCCCACATAGCCATAGCCCAAGGATGGAGTGAGGCAGGAGTGGCTCTGGGGTGTACCTAGATCAGCTGGGGACAGCAGCTGCAGCAGCAGAAGAGAGATGTGATCACTCCTGGATGAGAAAAAGCCCACTGTAATGGCAGGGGGGGAGAAGCCATGCAACCCTGAAGAGTAGGATCAAGACCACGGCTGTCAAATGGAACCGACAAGTGGTAGTAGTTGGTGACTCCCTCCTTCAGAGCACTGAGGCATCCATTTTCTGACCTGACCTTTTGGCTCGGGAGATCTGCTGTCTACCAGGAGCCCACATTAAAAACATCACAGAAAGGTTCATAGATTCAAAGATGTTAGGGTTGGAAGGGACCTCTATAGATCATCGAGTCCAACCCCCTGCATAGGCAGGAAAGAGTGCTGGGTCTAGATAACCCCAGCTAGACGCATATCCAACCTCCTCTTGAAGACCCCCAGGGTAGGGGTGAGCACCACCTCCCTTGGGAGCCCGTTCCAGACCTTGGCCACTCTAACTGTGAAGAAGTTCTTCCTAATGTCCAATCTAAATCTGCTCTCTGCTAGCTTGTGGCCATTATTTCTTGTAAAGCCCAGGGGCGCCTTGGTGAATACACCCTCACCAATTCCCTTCTGTGCCCCGGTGATGAACTTATAGGCAGCCACAAGGTCGCCTCTCAACCTTCTCTTGCGGAGGCTGAAAAGGTCCAGGTTCTCTAGTCTCTCCTCGTAGGGCTTGGTCTGTAGGCCCTTAACCATACGAGTGGCCCTTCTCTGGACCCTCTCCAGGTTATCCGCATCCCTCTTGAAGTGCGGGGCCCAGAATTGCATGCAGTACTCCAACTGCGGTCTGACCAGCGCCCGATAGAGGGGAAGTATCACCTCTTTGGATCTATTCGTCATGCATCTGCTGATGCACGATAAAGTGCCATTAGCTTTTTTGATGGCTTCGTCACACTGCCGACTCATGTTCATCTTGGAGTCCACTAGGACTCCAAGATCCCTTTCCACTTCCGTGCCACCCAGCAGGTCATTTCCTAGGCAGTAGGTGTGCTGGACATTTTTCCTCCCTAGGTGCAGCACTTCGCATTTCTCCTTGTTGAACTGCATTCTGTTGTTTTCTGCCCACTTGTCCAAGCTGTCCAGGTCTGCTTGCAGCTGTTCCCTGCCCTCCGGCGTGTCCACTTCTCCCCATAGCTTTGTGTCATCCGCAAACTTGGACAGAGTACATTTCACTCCCTTGTCCAAGTCGCTGATGAAGACATTAAAGAGTATCGGTCCAAGGACCGAGCCCTGCGGGACCCCACTGCCCACACCCTTCCAGGTCGAAACCAACCCATCCACCACGACTCTGGACTGAAGAAGATGGACTGCTATGAAGATATGGGGGTCCATGTAATGAAAAGAAGGAGGAATGTCTTCACAGATAGGCTTGCTAGGTTTACCAAGGAATAGAGACAAACACCCATAGATAAGGTTGCCAAGACTCACCAAGGTCTCTGACTACTATCCCACACTGCCCATCCATGTGGTCACTACTGACACTGCCAGGGGCAACCTTGAGCAAATCAAAAGTGATTACATGGCTCTGGATGCAAGGCTGGAGGGGTTTGGGGCCCCAGTGGTGTTTTCACTGATCCTTCTAGTCAAGGGTAAAGGCCCAGCTAAGAGCGGATGCATCCTGGAAATCAACATGTAGCTGCATAGATGGTGTTACCAGAGGGCTTTGGTTTCTTTGACTATGGGTGGTGTTCAAGAAGATGGACTGCTATGAAGATAGGGGGGCCATGTAATGAAAAGAAGGAGGAATGTCTTCACAGATAGGCTTGCTAACCTAGTGAAGAAGGCTTTAAAGTAGGTTTACCAAGGAATAGAGACAAACATCCATAAAGTAGGTTTACCAAGGAATAGAGACAAACACCCATAGATAAGTAAAGAGCTAGAGGACTTGGATAAAAACTTAGTAGAGGGAAGCAATACCAGAAACCTTAGCAATATTTTCAGGGCAAAAATAGGACAATCAGTTAAATACCTGAAATGTTTATATATTAATGCAGGAAGTATGGAGAACAAACAAGAAGAAATGGAAGTCTTAATAAAATCACAGAATTATGATGCAATTCGCATTATGGAGATGTGGTGGGATAGTCTACACAAATGAAATATGGTCATGGATAGGTATAGCTTGTTCAGGAAACAGCAGAAAAAAGGAGGCGCTGTATAAAGGCAATGTACATGTGTTCTGACGTGCAATACAAAGTGGAAGGCAGGCCTGTTGAAAGCTTCTGGGTGAAGGCCAGAGGGGAATACAGCAGGAAGTATGTCATGATGGGCATCTGCCAAACCAAGGGGAGGAGGTAGGAATCACAGCAGTACAGAAGCAGTCCAGCAAAATCATGGAGTGTGTTGGGGATAACTTTTTGATACAGATGGCAGAGATAACAAGGGGGAAGCTCTTCTTGACTTGCTGCTCCCACATGGAAGAATTTATTGAGAATGTGAAGGCAGAAGCTGACAGCCAATATGATAGAGTTCAAGACTGTAAGGGAAAGAAGGAAGAAAAGTAGTAGAATAAGGATGCTGGACTTCAGAAAAGCAGATTTTAACAAACTCTGGGAATTGGTGGGTAGGATCCCTGGAGAGGTGAGTCTGAGGAGAAAAGGAGGCCAGGAGAGGTAACTGTACTTTAAGGAGGCCCTTTTAAAAGGCACAGGAATGAACTATCCCGATGCAATGGAAGAATGAGCAGTACAGCATGAGACCAGCCTGGCTAGAAAGCAATCACTTCAAAGAGCTACAACTCAAAAAAGGAATCCTATAAAATGTGGAAACTTGGCCATAAGAAAAATGCATGGCTATGCAGGGAGAAAATTAGAAAGGCTGAGGCATGATTTGAGATGCAACTGGCAAGGGACATAAAAGGCAATAAAAAGGGATTCTACAAATATGTCAGGAGTAAACAAAGATATTAGAAACCATAGGTTTCTTATGGAACACAGAAGGCAATCTAGTTACAGATTATGCAAATGAAGACTGAAGTATTTAATACTTTTGCTTCAGTCTTTACAAACAGGGCCAGCTACCAGATGGCAAGTACAGTTGGCAACAAAGATAGGGAAGGAGACAAACTAGGGTAGTAGAAGAACAGGTTAGGCACTACTTAGAGTAGCTAGATGCTTTCAAGTTGGCAGGGCTGGATGAGCTGCTGAGGGTACTGAAGGAATTGGCTGAAGTAATTTCAGAGTCTTTTGCTATCCTCTTCAAGAAGTCACAGAGGTCAGGCGAAGTCCAAGATGACTTGAAAAGGGCAAAAATAGTGCCTAGCTTTAAGAAAGGAAAGAAGAAGGATATGGGAAACTACAGACTGGGCTACCTAAACTTGATACCTGGAATGATTATGGATCCACCAAGAACAAGTCATGCCTGACCAACCTGATTTCCTTCTAAAATAAGATGACAGACTCTGTGGATGGGGGACTTTTGACACTGTCTCTCATGCCATTCTTTTTAACCAGATAAGGAAGTAGACTAAAGTACTGTAAGGTGGATGCATAACTAGTTGGATCACCATGCTCAATGACTTGACATGAATGGCTTGATGTCTAGTTGGGAGGAGATATCAAGTGAAATTCCCCAGAGATCTGACTTAGGACTCCTATTGCTCATCATCTCCATTAATGATTTAGATGATGGGATTAAGTGCACGCTTAGCAAATTTGTAAATGACACCAAGTTGGGTGGAGTTGTAGACATCCTGAAAAGCAGGGCTAGGATCCAGTGACCCAAACAGACTGAAAAAATGGTCCACAGTCAATCAGATGAGAGTCAACAAGGACAAGAACAAAGTCCTGCACTTGGGATGAAATAACTTCTTGAACAAATACAGACTGAGGAATGATTATAGTGCCACACAGAAAGACCTGGGAGTTACAGTAGACCATAGACTGAATTTGAGCCAAAAGTGTGCTTTTGTTGCAAAAAGGCTAATGGCATATTGAGCTGTATTAATAGAAGCACTACTTCCAAATCAAGGGAAGTGATTCTTCCACTTTATTCAGTGCTGGTGAGGCCTCAGCTGGAGTACTGTGTCCACTCTTGGACACCATACTTCAAGAAGGATGTGGACAGATTAGAAATAATCCAGTACAGATGCCAGGGAAACAAAATTGATTAACAAAGGTTGAAAGAATTAGGATTATTTAATCTGGAGAATTGAAGATTGGGGGGGGGGTTAATAATAGTCTTCAAATACTGGAAGGGTGATTAGAGAGTGACTATGGGCTTTTCTCTGTGGTTGCAGTGGACAGGATTAGAAATAATGGCCTCCAGATGCAGCAAAGGAAAATTAGGTTGGAGAACAGGATGAGATTTCTGATTTTTTAACTTTATTAATGAATCCAATTTATTAAGCAACAGATTTAACATTTAATGATATAGTCAATGCCTTAAAACATACATAAAGACAGATATTTATCTTCTGTCAACAGTGCTACCATAACCCAAATTGATGTCCACAGAAGTCTTGTGTTCTTTTCTTTTCTTCCTTTCAGTCTCTGACAGTTCCTTTATGTTTCTGTCAATGTTTAGCTTTTGAGTTTATTCATCTCTATATAATAATTCACCCCTCCTGTTTCCTAGCATTCTGAGGAGGACTTTTCTAACTATGAGGGTGGTCAAGTATTTGAATAGGTTACCTAGAGAAATTGTGGAATCTCCATTCTTGAATATTTTCAAGAACAGGTTGGACAGGCATTTGGCTGGGATGGTGTAGTCAGGGACAATCCTGCCTTGACCAGGAGCCTGGACTAGATGACTTTGTGAGGTCCCTTCCAGCCCTACTTTTCTAGAATTCTATTGAGAGAAATAATTTTCAACAAATTAAGACTGCTTAAAAATTGCCTTTGAACAAAAACCAATGAAAGATTTAGGTATCTGATGCTACTGAACTATAAAAACCAGCACCATAGATTTTCTTGCACTGTACAGTTGAGGAGTGATACCAATAAAATCAAGAAATATCTTATTGCCAGAATAATTATATTTTTGTGACAGACAGTGCTCTATTTTGGTTATATTTCTCAGTCTTGTTTCTGCCTTATGTAGTTTGGAACTGTAGCACATTATCCAAAATTGTGTTTTTCTGTGGTCTTTTTGTGTATTTAAGTGCCTAAGATGCATGGATTGTTGGTTAGGCCTTCATTCTGATTTATCAACAAAGCATAGGCATCATGGTCCCACACAATTTATAACAAGGTTAACCACTAAGACACCACAGAAGAGATATATGCACATAGCCATACATACATTAAGGGTGTGACTGTACATACAGGGTTACCATACGTCCAGGTTTTCCCAGACATGTCCTCTTTTTTGGCCCTCCGTGCTGCGTCCGGGCGGGTTTCTTTAAATGCAAGCCAAATGTCTGGGATTTCCTCCCCACATCTGTTTTCAACATGGCCGCCGATAGGTAGAACTACAGTTTCAAGAATACTTAGCATGGCACGTATTGCAATCAGGAGCTGAGTTCTTGATTTTCCTTTGCTCTACTGGTGGGAGCAGGGGGAGGGCGATCAGAGGCAACAGGGAGCACAGAGGGCAGGAACGAGGGGCACTGGCAGAGCTGGGGGGGCGGGCGGCTGCAGCATGGGGGACTGGTGCCTCCTGAGTTGGGGCCGGGGGGGCACTTGTCCCCACAGTGGCCAGTCAGCAACCGGTTGGGTGGGGGGATCCCCCACAGACAAACACACTGACCCAGAAGTGCCAGAGGTATACCCAAAAGTGCCAGGGGTGCGCCCGGAAATGCCAGGGGCACTTCTCCTGGTGCCCCCATTCACCAGCCGGTGCTCTCGGGGGGGCACCAGCACTCCTGCCTGCCCCCATGCCCGTCGCCTAAGCGGGGAACGCTGGCTGTCAGGGGGTGCACGAGTGCTCTCAGAGGGTGCACATATACCCCTGTGCACCCCATACACGTTACCACTGGGCTGCAGGTCAGGACTGAGGGTGCACTGGCAGAGCTGGGGGGCAGGGACTGCAGGTCAGGAGTGAGGGGCACCAGCAGGGCTGGGGGGGCAGGGGCTGTGGGTCAGGAGTGAGGGGCACCAGCAGAGCTGAGGGGCAGGGGACTACGGTTCGGGAGTAAGAGGCACAGGAGGGGGTGACTGTGGGTTGGGTGTGTGGGGCACTGGCAGCACCAGAGGGGTGCATGTCAGGAGTGAGGGGCACCAGCATGGAGTGGGGGCAGGGTACTGCTTTTTGGGAGTGACATACACTGGCAGGGCTGGGGTTAGTGGGTCAGGAGTGAGAGGCAGGAGCAGGGCTGGGGCTTGTCAGTGAGAGGCAACAGAATGGGCAGAGGTAGGGCACCAGCATGTCACTTCCCGCCCCCAGCCAATCATATTCCCCCCGCCCCCCCCCCCCACGCACCTGGAAATATGGTAACCCTAAACAAACACACACACACACACACACACACACACACACACACCCCCATAAACACTCATAAATAGGCATACGCCCCAATATATATAAGCACAGAGCGCTGCAGACTTAAATACACACACACAATGCATATATGCAAATATAAATTGGCAAACATGCATTAGACATATCTAATGTATATACATTAGATACATCCATAGACCAGCGCACATAAATGTAATTTTTACAGATTCATAAAATTTACGCCCCAAAAGGAACCATTAGATAAACTGATGCACAGCACAGTCCAGAGCATTTCACTTAGTTACCCTTGTTCCAAACTCCAAAGATTCTGTTTGACTCAAGCCTTTGTGTTTGAAAATCCTATTTTGCAAAAAGGCATCCAGTGAAGATCTGAAGACATCAAGAAATATGAGGAAGATCCACTCTTCAAGAAATATAAGGAAGATCCCCTCTTTCCCCTGGCAATTGTTCCAGTAGTTAGTCACCAGCACAATTCAAAATTTGTGTCTTATTCCTAACTTTAATTTGTTTGGCTTCGGCTTCCAACCCTCAGTTTTTAATATGTTCTTCTCTGTTAGATTAAAGAGCCAGTATTTTATCCTTATGAAGACACTTATACACTGCAATTAAGGCTATGGACAGATGTTGAACAAACATTTGTCTAGGGTGATTTAGATAGGAATGATCCTGCCTTCAGTGAGGGGTTAAACAAGAGGTCCTACCCAGGCTACTTTTCTGTGAAAACATACTTAGATGTCCATGTATGTACTCATGCACACACATGCAGATTTACCAAGAGCTAAGTGAATTTGCCATCCCTAGAAATACCTAATCAAATACTTAAAACAGACTTTTAAAACATAGCTTTTAAAAAGGTATCTGAATAGGAATTAATGCAGGAAAACGTTCTGATCTGAGTTATGCTGGGGATCATACTGCATAATCCTTTTTGCCTTGTAATCTCCATGCAGCATGCAAACATGACATCATACAGACATGTGCATGTACAGATTCATGCAGAAATATACCAACACGCCCACCCAGCATGGATACACACAGTATGTTCACCCTAGAGAGCATTGCTCAGAGATTACTGTGGGCTTGGCTGACTTTGGGTGCCCTGAGAGAGCTCACAAAGAGGAAGGGAGCACTACTGATAATAAGCCACAGGGTTGCCATGGTGAGGCACATGAAGCAAGTTTTGCTGAGAACCATAGGGTCATATGAGAGATGGAGAGTTGCCGCAAGGCAGTACACAAGGCAAAATAACAAGCTCTGAAATAACTGGGGGTTAAACCGTTTCTCTTGTCTCCCTGATGTCTCAGTAAACTCTGCTAAACATCTCTTGTTCCAAGCAATGGAGCTCCAGTCTGTAAATGGTGTTAGTGATGTGAAGATAAGAGAGAAGGGAGAGGAGGAGGGCAATTGACTTAGCCCAGATCACAGTGACTGAAGCAGAACAGGCAAAGGTAGTACGATGAGGGCTTAGAGAAAGGGGCTCAGGTATCAGGAGAAGTTAGGGTTCTGGAAAGCAAGCTGGGCCAGGTAGCTAACAAATGCTCTTTGGTCATGTGTCCCTGATGATTCTTGACAGCCATGAAACAGGAGAGGTCCACAGGGATTCATAAAACCACCCTTCAGGGCTGCAGTCCCACTTCACCATGCATTTCCCTGCTCACAAGACACATGGCCATTAATCCTTCGATGCATCTACTCACCCCTTTAACTTCTTTTAAGTCTCCTTTTACCAGCGAATCCAAGGGAAAGTTAATGTTGTGAGACAAGCTCTGCAACTGAAAAGAAAAGGGAGGGGGGGAGAGAGAACACACATGTGGCTAGTACTGCCTGAGCACAGCCTTGCCAAGGTGCTGGCCCTGCATGCAGCCTGCAGGAGAGGCAGGCTGTCCTGCAGCCTAAAGATCCTGGACAGCGCTCTCAAACTAAGCAATGGCAGACATGTTGGTCTGGATCCCATTGTTCCCTGCTCCCTGTTGACACAGTTCCCCCAGGTTGTTGTACTTGCATTAGAACTTTCTACATCTCCCCGTCCCTACTGTGCATGCTCCCGGGCAAAGAACTTTTCTTATGCATTCTTTTCCTATTCATCTTTTCCTTATGCCCCTGACCCTGCTGCTGCAGAAGAAAAGTGGAAGTATCTGCCTTATCCCAAGCACCCATCAGACAAGAGACAGACATGCAGAAACTGAAAATCCTGCTCTACCTCTTTATGCCTATGTGGTTCTTAGGGAAGTAAAAGCCTATGTACTTAGGCAAAGGACAGTTTCAAAATGCTTCTCACTTAGCCAAATCCAAAAGGATTTTCCTCAAACTGCAGGGCTAGGGACAGACATTGAAAAAGCCTGAGCCTGAATTGATTCAATCTTTGCAGGTTAGCCTAAGCTGAGGAGGGGGTGCGTGGCCAGGCCCAGGCAGGCCCGCCCCAGTGGCTCCCTGACAGCCGGGCTCCCTGCACACAGGGCTGCCCAGCCCCAGAGGGGAACTCTTTTCCCCCTCCTCCCTCTCCCTCACCGCCACAGGTGGCAGGATGACACAACAGCAGCAGAGCAGGTTGGAGTGCTAGTGAGGGTGCAAAATTTTGTTTGCCTAGGGCAACAAAAATCCTTGCACCGGCCCTGCCTACACATCCCAGCTAATATCAAGGGTTGATTGTGCTAGGCATTATACAAACACATAGTAAAAGAAAGTCCCTGTCAGAAACAACTTCGTCTCAGACACTGATTTTACAAACAATCACACACAGTAAAGTCAACTCTCAGGATTGCGTTGTGAATCTTGCAATATTTGGGGGTTTTCCCTCAAAGCCCAGCTCATGGAGCCAAGAATTTCAGTTTTCATTTAAGAGAAAAAGGAAATTTCTAGTCATCTTAATTGTGAAGAAATGCTTGAAAAAAATAGCCCAAGGACAAACTAAAGGCTTCCGAACAAGAAGGCACAGAAAAATAACCTATATATTTGTTAAAATCTCATTATTTTGATAGAGTCTGATTCCTGATTTTTAAACTCTTGGGAGACAGGATGCTGACTTTAACTTCTCTGATTGACTCATAATAGCCAAGTACTGAATAAGAGCAGAGTCTAGTAAAAGTATAAACAGCTCCACTCATCTCAGTCAAGGCCAGTCTGTGACCACATAACATGCAAGAGGCAAAGATATCTTACAGTGATATCTTTTATTGGATCAACTATTTTTGATATCTTTGATAGTTGGTCCAATAAAACTCATCATCCTAAAAAATTCTTCCCTGTTGCATAATTTCTGAACCATCACAACTACAGTATCACTCTTACACTACCATGCATTGTGGAATTTCTGAGACGCCATGAAATTTACTACTTCTGCCATAGAATTCACCACTTTGTTGTACTTGGGCCCTACTCAGACACTCATAGGACAGTGCTTTATACCAAACTCTTGATTGGGGTCAGCAGTTCCCGGGAGAATTCTGCGAAGCAGGTGAAAGTGCCAGCCAGCTGCTCCTCTCCTTCATTCTGGTAATTCATGGAGAATCTCTCCTGGCCTACAATATGTGCATCCATGTGACTAAGGAGATCTGGGGACACAGACACAGGGCCACAATGAGCACACAGTAAAGCAATAGGACGGGAAACTACCACAAGCTGCCCACCATAGTATCATAGTATCATAGTGCTTAGGGTCAGAAGGGACCTAAACAGATCATCAGGTCCGATCCCCTGCCCCGGGCAGGAACGGGTGCCGGGGTCCTATCACCCCAGCCAAATATCTGTCTAGCTTCCTCTTGAAGACCCCCAAGGTAAGGGAGAGTACCACCTCACTTGGGAGCCCATTCCAGAGCCTGGCAGCCCTAACTGTAAAGTAATGTCTCCTGATGTCCAGCCTGAACCTTCTCTCTAACAATTTGTGGCCATTATTCCTAGTAACCCCGGGTGGTACCCAGGGCAACAGAGCCTCCCCCAATTCCCACTGGTCCCCCCTGGTGAGTTTGTAAACAGCCACCAGATCCCCTCTCAGCCTTCTCTTGTGAAGGCTGAACAGGTTCAGGCCCTTTAGCCTCTCTTTGTAGGGCCTGCCCCGCTGCCCCTTGACCATGCAAGTGGCCCTCCTCTGGACCCTCTCAATGCCAATGCTAGCCACATCCCTCTTGAAGTGCGGCACCCAGAACTGGATGCAGTACTCCAACTGTGGCCTGACCAGTGCTGCATAGAGGGGAAGGATCACCTCCATGGACCTGCTTGTGATGCATCTGTAGATGCACGACAAGGTGCAGTTAGCCTTACTGACTGCTTCCTCGCATTACCGGCTCATGTTCATCCTGGAGTCAACAATGACTCCAAGATCCCTTTCTGCTACCGTGTTGACAAGAAGGGTGTTCCCCAGCTTATAGGTGTGATGCTGGTTCCTTCTCTCTAGATGCAGTACCTTGCATTTGTCTGCATTGTCCACACCTCAACTCCCACCCTGGACAGCAGCCTACATATGAAACTGAGTACAATCAGGATGGGCAAGAGAGGAGTAGTAGTCTTGGAGGGATTGGAGCAAATAAGCAAGACAGGGAATGGTCTAGGGATTAGGAGGTCAGTTGGCTGACCAGAGGCAGGAGTTGGGGATCAGTCATTGTTAGGCTGCAACAGAGGAAGAGGGCTCCAGTGCTAGGGATTTGCCCATATGGCATTGTCAGAGGGGGCCATTATTTTTGCACTGCTGTATGTCAGCTCAGTAACAGGTGTGGGTGGCAAGCTCTTTGCCTTGAGGCCCTGGCACAGTGTTTGTTTCAGTGGCTATTTCAGTTGACATCAGTGATTTAGGTGGGTGACATGGAAGAGGCTACACAGCACAACAAAGCATAGAAGCACGTAAATGAGCTGAGCTGTGGGCACAGTTAAGGCTAGTGATGCAGCAGCTGGTACAGTAGTACTACATTCACTAGAGCTGCATTTATTCCTTAGTCACCTGCTAAGTGGAATTTAGTGGCATTGCTGTCTTGGGTGATGCCTAAGATGTGGCTGCTCATACATGCCCAAATCATGGGTAAGGAGTTTTCATATGTATTGCATCTCATGTTGAGGATTCTGTGAAGGGCAGTAAGGTGCACTAAAGCTAACATTGATGTTGTTTGGCACAGCTGTGACAACAGCCAATGGCTGCACTCGCAAGCTTTAGCAAGCAGCACAAACAGCTACAGGCCTGGGGGACCCTGCCATAGACCTCGTAATGGGAGGGGGTTAAAGATTCGCACTCTCATAAACAGAGCACAAACATAGGGTCATGTTTTCAAAATGCTTCCTTGCCTTGCTGGCCCTTCATCAGAACCGTCCCCTGAATACCTAGCATGGAGCTTCCCCGTTGGCCCTCTATTAAAACCACCCAATCCCTGATCCAGATCGCCCATTCTGCTTTGACCTTGTCCAGAGGCATGCTCTGCCTTGGTTGCTTTTCTCATCTTCTGCAAGACAGCTCGATCGGAGTCCAAAGCCTAGAAATAAAAAAAAGGAGACGGTCACTGAGCACCTACCCACCAAGCCCCAAATTCTAGAGGCAACTAAGGAAACACTGCAGCTGGTCTCCATCACCCTGTGGGAGATAACAGATCATGTGCACATGCCCCAAGCCAGCTAGCACCCACTGAGCTCTCACATCTTGGCTCACCTGTTTCCCTGCTTTGATGGAGGCACCTGCTAAAACATATGCTACAAAAACTCCCAAAGTTTAGCCATGGTTGCCACCAAGTTCCTTTCCATTCATTGTTTGAAAATTCCTGGGCTGTGGTTTTCAAATGCACCTGAACAAGCTCAGAGCTAACACACCAGGAGGACTTATTCACTGTAGTGCCTAGCATTACAGCACTTAACCAATAGACACCCTGTGCTGGCTTGTGGCATCGACAGCCCTGAGGAAGGTGCTCGGGCTCCCTGTACCATGCCTGGTAAGATTTAGGTGCCTCACAGTAGGATCCATAAAAACCAGTAAGTTAAAGCAAAAGGCAACGCTGAGAAGATGTTCTACCCACTCCAGCAATGTTGTTCTCCAACTCGACTGCAGTGAGGTACCCCGCTCCATTCAGGATTTATAGCTATGACCCGTCCTCCTGGCATTAACAGCTGTCACCAGCCCTTTTTCAAAAAACACAAGGCGAGAACAAGGTGGGGATGCATCCCTTTTTACACCAATGTTTAGGTGGGTGGTCTACCTTACATCCAGGTGATTTGGATCAACCTTGATTCAAACCTCTGAGAGACAAGAGTTCTCATAGAACCATAGAAAATTAGATTTCGAAAGGATCTGAGGAAGTCATCTAGTCCAGGAGTGGGCAAAATACGGCCCGCAGTGGGGCCCCTAAAAAATTTAGAAAATTAATATTTCTCTGCCCTTGGTTCCTGTCATAAATGACAGGAACCAAGGGCAGTAGGACCCAGGGGAAGTCCCAGCAGACTCCCACAACAGCAGGCCCCCCACTCCCCCCCTGCAGCTGGAAGCCCCAGCAGGGACTTCTGGCCTGGGACCACATGGCTGCCCCACGCCAGAACCTCAGGTAAGGGGGGAGGACCCCAGGCAGGGAAGGAGCCCAGGGAAAAGCGGCCTAGGGAAAAGCTGAGCACGGGGGCGGAAAGCAGCCCCTCACCAACCCTGTGGCCAGTGCCCTGCGCTGCAGCCGCTCGCAGCCCACCTGGGGCTGCCTGTGCATCCTCTGGACAGCCCCGCATGGGCTGTGAGTGGCTGCAGCAGGGAGTGGGGCAGGGGAAGGGCCGCTTTTCACCCCCCCTACACTCAGCACCACCTTATAACCCAGCCCCACTACCAGCCTGGGCCCCATGCCAGCTCCGTGCTTGCCTGTCGGGGCTGCACCTGGCAACAGCAGCTGGGGCCCCACTGCTTGTCGTGCCAGGCAGCGTTTGCCACCGCCCACTCTGTGCAGCCCAACACACAAGCTTTGGGTGGGCAACAGCAGCCAACACTGCCTGGTGCAGCATGCAGGGGGGCCACAGCTGCTGCCACCACGCACAGCACCAACGGGCAAGCCCGGAGCCAGCGTAGAGCCCAGGCTGGCAGCAGGGCCAGGTTACAAGCTGGTGCTGACCGCGGAGAAAAGTGGCCCCTCGCTCACCCTGTGGCCAGCGCCCTGCGCTGCAGTCACGTGCAGCCCACATGGGGCTGCCTGTGCCTGCTCAGGACAGCCCCACATGGGCTGCAAGTGCCTGTAGCAGGGAGCGCCAGCCACGTGGTGGGCGAGGGGCCACTTTTCCCTGAACTCAGCACCAGCTTCTTCCCTGCCGGTGAGCAGGGCGTCAGGGCTGTGCGCTGCCCCCTGCCTGTATCATGGGGCTGGGGGGCACTGGGAGTGAGTGGGCAGGGAGCCAGCAGGAGCACGAGGTCCACACCATGTCCCAGGGCCATAGATTTCATAGATATCAGCGCTGGAAGGGACCTCGGAAGATCATCGAGTCCAGCCCCCTGCCCCCCAGGGGCAGGAAGTCAGTAGGGATCATAGGATCCCAGGAAGATAAACATCCAAATTTCTCTTGAAGGTGTTCAAAGTAGGTGCTTGAACTACCTCCAGTGGCAGTCTATTCCAGAGCTTGGGGGCTTGGACTGTAAAGAGGTTCTTACTTATGTCCAGCCTTAAACGGTCCTGAAGGAATTTATGACCGTTCGACCTTGTCATCCCCTGGGGCGCTCTGGTGAACAGATGTTCCCTCAGATCCTGGTGAACACCCCTGATAAACTTATAGGCGGCCACCAGATCACCCCTGAGCTTTCGCTTTTCCAGGCTGAAGAGTCCCATAGCTCTCAGCTTCTTCTCATAAGTTCTGTTTTCCTGACCTCTGATCATGCGCGTGGCTCTCCTCTGCACTCTCAAGCTTCTCCACATCCTTTCTGAATTGCGGAGCCCAAAACTGGATGCAGTACTCCAGCTGCGGCCTCACCAAGGCCGAGTACAATGGGACACTGATGTCCTGGGATTTGCTTGAGAAGCATCTACAGATGCAAGCCAGCGGTTTGCTTGCTTTACTGGCCGCAGCATCACATTGAAGGCTCGTGTTCATCTTGTTGTCAATCATGACCCCCAAGTCCTTTTCATCCGTTGTGCTAGCCAACGTAGCACTGCTGAGCCAATAAGCATGCTGCGGGTTTTTCTTCCCAAGGTGGAGAACCTTGCATTTTTCAGTGTTAAACACCATCATGTTCTCATCCACCCACTTCCTGAGCCTGTCAAGGTCAGCCTGAATCACCCTCCTGTCCTCAGGTGTGGATGCTTTACGCCAAAGTTTGGTGTCGTCAGTGAACTTGGCCAATCCGCTTCTGATACCAATGTCTACATCGTTAATGAAGATGTTGAATAGTGTTGGCCCAAGGACAGAGCCTTGAGGGACCCCACTGGTCACAGGGCACCATGACGATTGACTCCTGTCAACCACCACCCTCTGGGTCCAACCATGGAGCCAATTCCCCAGCCAGCAGATTGTGGCGAAGCTGAGGCCACTCGTAGGATACCAGATCGAAGGCTTTTTTAAAGTCAAGATATATGACATCAATCTCTTCTCCCTTGTCCAGGTGATAAGTCAGCTGGTCGTAAAACGAGATAAGATTGGACAAGCAAGACCTACCCGCAACAAACCCATTCTGGCTATCCCTCAGGATGTTGCCATCGGCCAGTCTGTTAAGAATGGCCTCTTTGATAACGTTTTCTAAGACCTTCCCCAGAATAGAGGTCAGGGTGATGGGCCTGTAGTTTGCCGGATCCACTTTCCTCCCTTTCGTGAAGATAGGCACCACATTGGCCTTCTTCCAGTCCTCGGGCACTTCACCAGAGTGCCAGGAGTTCTTGAAGATCCGTGCCAGGGGCTGAGTTATGATGCTTGCCAGCTCCTTGAGTACCGTGGGGTATAAACAGTCAGGACCGGCTGACTTGAAGGTGTCCAGCCTCTCAAGGTGTTCCTTCACAAGGTCAGTACTGATGGAGGGTAAGGAATCATCCTCACCCAGGCGTTCCTGTCCCGTAATGGACAGGGGCACCCTTGGGACTGTTGAAAAACCAATGCAAAGTACCCATTTAGCAAGTTGGCTTTTTTCTGGGCATCAGTTGTCAGTTGTCCCATCTGGTTTAGCAGGGGTCTGATGTTGTCCTTGCTTTTCCTCCGGCTCCCCACATACCTAAAAAAGGACTTTTTATTGTCCTTGATACTTGTAGCTAGTTGGAGTTCAGCTGCAGCCTTGGCTTTCCTGGTTCGCTCCCTGCAGGTTTGGACCAGTGCAGAATATTCCTCCAGTGCTGGCGGTACCCAGAGCAGGGTGGCAGGAGTGCGGGGTCCCAGCTGGCACGGGCTCTTCCCTCTCCCTGCTGGTGCAGCCCAGCCCAGCTCCACAGACCCCTGCCAGCCTGTGCCCCGCTTTGGGCCCCACTGGTGCTGGCCCTGGGACATGGGACCAATGTCCCAATGTCTTGAGACCAAAGACATTGGGACATTGGTCCCAAGATGGTGACCAGGAGGCGGGGCACCTGTCAGGGGGCGGGGCTACCCATGGGGCCTTCAACAGCCTGCCAAAACTGGGTAAGCGGCCCTCCACCCGAAATAATTGCCCGCCCCGATCTAGTCCAACCCCCTGCTGAAAGCAGGGGCATTCCCAACACTAAGCATTCCCTATTGGCTACTTGTAGGCAACTCCCTGTTCAGTGCTTTCATGCTCTGGAGGTGAACTACTAGGCTGCTCACTGAAAGACTGGGATCCCCAAGTGGAAACAGATTGCTCTCCTGAGTTGAGACACTTATTTTTGGTCAAGTGGTTGCATAGCCTTAGACATCTAGTAGGCATAATGAGATCTGGACCTTATTCTCCCTTAGTTTCAGTTCCCATCTGCAAAATGGGGATATTAGCACTCTATTGGAAGAGTGTAAAGATAAATACATTAGGAGATTCATCGATTCCAAGGTTAGAAGAGACAGATCACTGTGAGCATTTGGCCTAACCAGGCCACTGAGAGCATTTATACATACAGTTTTCTGTCCCACAATGTGCCGGAGATCAGCCACTTCTGAGCAGACTCAATTAATTGAGTCTGCTTCGCACAGGAGCTGAGGCAAACTGCACTGCGCCACATGCAGTTGCATAAGTGGCAAAATGCACATAAGCGTGCAGAAAATGGTGGTGGTGCGCTTTTGAACTAAAGCACCTCTGATGTGCTTTAGTTCAAAAGTTCACTGCCGCCATTTTCTCAGTATTGATGCACATTTGCTGCTTATACAACTGTAAGTGTTGCAGTGCCAGGTGCTTTTCAAAGCACCTGGCGCTGCAGCACTTAAATGTGTAAAAATGCCCTGAATTTCCACAGCTTAATTCTTGCTTTAAACTATAGTATATCTTTCATTTTTTTAAAATACAGTCCATATGTTAATATTTCCAATGATGGAGAATTCATCATTGTCTTTGGAAGGTGTTTCTATGGCTAATAACTCTCAATGTTAAAAATCCATGCTT